AGGACAGGAAGGCCTGGCGCAATATGGTTCATGGGGTCATGAAGAGTCGGACACGACTTAACTACTGAACAACAACAAATGCATTATATTTAAGTGTGTCTTTGCTAGGCAGCTAGAAAACTAACTGGGAGCAGCCATATATTCATATTATATGAATGCACTCATTACCATCTGCACAGCTACAATCCATCTCTAGACTAAATTCAAAATACTGACATAAAGGCTCTAATCAGTGACATGACAGACTTCTATGATACAGTAAATTTAACCATTAACCAAATCTGCATGCTAGGTAGATCCTAGCACATCATGAAAAACCACAGTGAACAGGTAGTCCTTGCTTAACGACAGTAATTGGGACCAGGCTTTCCATCACTAAGCAATGCGGTCGTAAAGCACAATGTAATGTGACCTCATCACTTAGTGATAGGAATCCCAGCAGTCCACATAGCCACTGTTAAGCAAAAATTGCAGGTCATTAAGCAAGGACCTCTTCGCAACTTCCTGCTGGTTTCCAACAGCCAAAGTCCCAGGTGGCTCGCAAGCAGGCTGACAGGGAGGTAGGTGCATTTTCGGGCCCAGGGATGGCTGCTGCCAGGTGGGGGAGGGTGTGCGAGAAGTCACAGCAGCGTGCGAGCAATTTCAGGCTTGGGGCTGGCTGTTGTTGGATGAGGGAGGGTACATCGGCAGTTGCAGCAGCGCATGCAACAATTTCAGGCCCAAGGGTGGATGCTGCCAGGTGGCGGAGACTTACACGAGCAACTTGCAACTTCCCTGTTGGCTTCCCCATTGACTTCGCTTGTGGGAAGCCAGCAGGGAAGGTTGCAAATGGTGATCACATGACCATGGGATGCTGCAATCATTGTAAATGCAAGCTGGTTGCCAAGCTCCCAGAATGTGATCATGCGATGAGGGTACTGCTACGGTCAGAACTTCAAGAACTGGTCATAAGTACTACTCGTTCAGGACCATTGCAACTTCAAATGGTTGCTGAACAAGTGGTCAGTAAGAAAGGATTACCTGTACATCAATAAGAAGTGAACACTCAAATATTTTAAAGCCTCATTTGCATGTCACACCAAATCAACTTATGGTCATGCACAGTATGTTGTTAAAATTAATAACATGGGCTAAATTATATCTAAGGCAGAATCTGTAACCAAATTAATCTTGGTTGTTGCATTATCTGAACAAAGATGATCTCTGATCTCCATGCATAGAATTATTTATCAAAAATATTGCTGTGTCGCTAACTTCCAAAGACTCCCAGTGGTTAACAAATAAAAATCATAAATGTATCACATAAAAACATCCCCTATGCTAAACCTGGAGGTCCTCTAACTCTTCCTCAATCATTAAAATCTCTCTGCAACATTTTCTAAAGGCCCCTCCTGAAGTTATCAGGGATGGTGCCATTTGAATCTCAGGAGGCAATGTTCCATAATGTAGAAGCCTATGCAGAGAAGAAGCATGTTCTTGCTCCTCCTTCTCAGATTTCATTTAGGGGTGGCACACTAAACTCCATACTAACTGAATATATAGGATGGGTCAGTTCTACCTGAGTAAGTAGTCCTTCAGATACCCAGATGCACTTATATTATACAGTACCCAGAACCAATGCAGTGTTCACAAAATGAGAGTATGTGGCACTGGTGGCTTAATATGTCGCAAGTAGTACGTTACATTTTGCAACAACCATAACTTCTGAATTATCTTCAAAGACAGTACATACAGCTCATTGCAATAGTCAATAAACTAGAGGGTGGAGAGCCACAAAATGGGGGCATTCTAGCTGCAGTGTCAAGCCTTTTATTGTTTTCTCCCATGGTATTTACTAATCCAACGCTCAGTTATATACCTCCAGCAGTTCTGAGGGGGCCATTATTAAAGAAACCATCAGAAGAGTTGTGGCGTCTCCGGCTTACACCAAAGCGGCCTTCTCCCCGAGGAAGATGCTCTCCATGCTTTTCAAATGTAGCTCCAGGAGCCTATGAACAAATGGGTAACATGTAAAAACTACTGCAACAGTATTAACAGTCATGAATACCACAAGCTTTCAGGAGTATATCAACAGCAAATTTAAAAGTAAAGAAAGTCACACATTTTAAGACACACAGGACAATTTTATGCACCAAGCTTATTAATATCATTTTGCAGGCTTTAAAATATTTCTCATTATTCATCTGAAATTTTAACAATATAGCAAAAGAGTATTTGTTACTATAGCATACTAAACTGATCAATCTCAAAGAGTTTAGGACCTACATAGAAGAATGGCTGTTGAACTTATATCATCCAGAACAAATTACTATACTTAAAAAAACAGAGTTATTTCATACAAATGCACCATCAGATATTTGTTTTATTAAATTAACTTTTAAATTATATCTTAATTAAAGCAAACTACTGTAAAATGTGTCTATTTTATCATAAAGTAGGGCAGAAATCCATTTATTTTTCATATATTTCCAACATTGTACCACTCTATTAGTCAATCTAGTTAGATAATACTGGTGGAATATCAGCAACTTCCAGCAGTAGGTTTCACTGTACAAGAGGCAGCAGGCATCAAAATAAATATTTTTTTAAAAAAATTAAAATTCAAGAAATGAAAAAAATGGCCAAGATCTCATGAGAGGAAACAGATTCTGCTAATATTTCGAAAAAAATCATTCTATTTTAAATGTCAGAATATAAAGTCATGTTTTCTTATCAGGTTTCCATTTTAAACTACATGTGTTACATGGTTTTACCAAAATATCCTGAGCGTATCAATACACTGCATATAACTCCCACAGTGTCTGCCAGGTAGGCCACTTCAATCTTGCAGGGTTGGCACACTCCAAGTTCCTTCGATTACACAATGTCATCTATCTAATGTCAATGCCTTCTCTGCAGCAGTGCCTGCCCTCTAGAATTAGGTTCCCCCCCAAGATCCAGATGGCCCCCACTCTGTTGTCCAGAAGAGTGGTGAAGACCTGGCTCTTCACCCAGGCCTTTGGATAGTTATCTGATCTTGTATAGCTTCATTCCATCTGGTCTGTCACGCTTGCCATCTTTTACTGATGTTATTGTAATTTGATTGTTGTCAGCCACCAAGGGCAGCATACAAGTTTAATAAAATAATAATAACTACTGCTACTACAAATACTATCTGTACTGAGATGCAGTCTACAGTACACTGGCTTCCAGGGTAGTCCCCAGATTAGAGATGCCAGCTTGGATGGGACAGCATGAACATTGTTAGGGTAAATTTGGGCTTTGGTTGCACTTGTAGCCAAAATGAACAGAGACTCTCTTTAACAGGGAATGCTACATGTGACATGGCTACAACTAACAATGGTAATATAGTCTACGCTTTGTCTTACTAAGAAGTACTATCAGAAAGCCTCAATTGGCCACAATTATGATGGGTTGTGAAGGTCAGTAATTACAGGTGGTCCTTGGGTTACGACCACTCGTTCAGCAACCATTCAAACTTGCAATGGTGCTGAATGAGGAGGACTTACAACCAGTCCTCAAAGTTTTTGCCGTTGCAGCATCCCTTCAGCCACATCATCATGATTTCCAACATTCCCTGCTGGCTTCCCACAAACTAAGTCAATGGGGAAGTTGGCAGGAAGTCAGAAGTCATGATCACATGAGGTCCTCGCTTAACAACCTGGACAGTCCTTATTTAATGAGGTCAACTGGGACTACCAGAATTTTCGCCACTAACCAACATGGGCATGTGATATTCCACTTTACAACTGTGTCACTTAGCAACAGCAATTCCAGTCCCAATTGCCATTGTAACTCAAGGACTACCTGTACTGGCCCATCTGCTGCTGACCATACTATATGGATGATAGTGACTTGGTATGTAGGAAGAATATGTAAATAGTAAAGAACATGTATTAATGAATGGAAGGAAAGAGAAAAATGTAATATACATAAATGATAATAATCCAAAATCCATGTCACTAAATGAAAGTTATAAATCAATAAATTGTGGTAACTGCATGTTATGCTGCAGTAAAAATACTCAAAGGATTAGAGATGAGTTTGGGGAAACTGCTGCCATTGCTGTACCAATGTAGCATATCTCACCAGCTTGCTTGTGGCCTATCTCTGCAGCACATTCTGTCATTTCACGTGTCCCATAGTGGCATATCCCTGCAGCCTATATACTTCATATATTTCCAAAACCTTCCCTCCCCTGAACCTCTAATGTTCTTTAGTTTTTCCTGTTCCCCCACCACCACTTCTGTCCAAATCAAACAGCCCCATTTCAATCCCTGCCAGATTAAAACACCTGACTCTAGATGCTCCATGCATGGAACATTTTCCATATTCCTTGTTAAGTTAACATACTAATTATGAACTTTTATTAATTCTTTAATATTTATATTCTCAACATTTAGTATCTATAAACACTGAAACCAATCTCATTGTTCATCTTTTGTTCTATAGCTGGGCTTTTTTGGTTTTGGTCAAATGTGATTTATTCAATAAAATATGGTTAAAGAAACTATGCCTCAGTCCAATCCAATCTTTGTATAATTTCAGATGGGTTTAAAATCCCTTCATGAATCTTTTTAGATTTTAGCACACTGGCTGGGGAATTCTGGGAGTTGAAGTCCACACATTTTCAAGTCACCAAGGGTGAGAAACACTGGTCTATATAATACAAAAGATTCCTAATTAAATCATCATACAACTTAGTTCAATACAAATATTGATTTGTGATTAGGACCAACCCATAATGGATTCTGTTATACTGCATAGTAAATGGTATTTAGAAATCTTATTTGCTTTTATGTATTGTTTCTATAGTACTAACTTAAAAATTAACCTACATTCTCCCTTAAGGACTAAAAGCTTCTGCCAATCTTTCAGTGTTGGACTAAGTATTCTTTATAATCATGAAATAAGCACTCTCTATGACTAATTCATTTTAATTAAAAAAATAAGGTCAAAATTAAGAATTTATTTGTTTTTAATACAGACAGATTATTCTGTTGCAAAAACAAATTACAATATCCAATATATTTTACGTCCTTATCTTGGATCAGATTGGCTTATATAATAGTACACTACATGCACACTGTGGCCAAGAAAACTACATGGACATGTGTATCTCTTCAAAGGTGAACTTAAAACACTCTTTACTTTTTTTAAAAAAAGTTAGAACAGTGGGGTATAAATTAAGTAAATAAATGGGATGAGAGGAATCTCTGACTATACATTGTGAAGGGAACCATATTTACTTTGCCAGTGTATTATTTTGAGAAATGGCTGGCTGTAGTAAGGAAGGAGACTTTATAAGGTCAAATAAAGTGTTCAGAGTTATAACTAGTAATGGTTACTGTGAAATTGAGAGCTGAGTCCAGGAAGACTGTAGTGGGGTATACAAGATGTGGTGGCTTGGGAGTAAATTCTCCCTCCTCCCCTCCACAATCTTACTGCATCCTCCCTAGAATTCCTGGGGAGAGCTAACTAGGTATACTGTCACCAGCCATTGTTCTTCAAAGAAAGCCCTGTCTGCCACTGGTTTACCAGAGATTAAATAAGCGGTAGCTCCCTTCCTTCAGAAACCTGATCTGAGAGGAAGAAATATGGTAAAGGCTATATATTTTTCCCAGAATGAGCATTGCTGGTTTATTAAGAGTTCTAAATATTATATATAGCAGTCAGACCTAGAAAAAAAGTTGGAAAGAAAAAGAAAAGGAATGAATTTTTGTTTTCAAGAGTCATCTGCTCCCTTAATTCAGAATCTTACATGCTTCAAACTAAATTCACAGAGGGTGTGAATTCATTTACACCCTAAAATAGAACAGAACCTATACAGCAACTAGCTTCACTGATACTAGCTTGCTGATCAAATTCACTAGATTCCAGCCTGTTGACTTTGCCCATATCTGCCTTATAGCCAACTTTAGAGCAGAAAAACACAAATACCAAAATATCAAAACAAAATTTGAAACTGCTCTACTCTCTTGTAAAAGCCCACGTGACAGGAGAAATCTATCCTTCTGATTGCCTCCTCAGCATTTTATCTTCTTAGTCTTTTGTTTTCTCTGCCCATTATTTTGATTGACACATTAGCTGCCCATTATTTGGACTGACACCATCAACTCTTTTAGTACCTGAACCTCTTGAAATGGAATTTCCTCATGATCGCTATGAGAATCAACTGCAAATGTACCTGTTTGATAAAGCTGTGGGAAAGACACAGGTTTCTATGTAATGGCTTAACATAAACAACAGATAATGTTTATCTGTAGCAGAACTTTATTCTTTGGTTAACTTACTTTAAAAAGAAAATATACAAAGCCAAAGACCAAGAGATAAATATTTTGCACATCATACATCCATAAAGAACTAAAGAACAATGATTTAATAGAAGAGTAGTAAAGAAAAGCAAAATCTAGGAAAATACTGAACCAAAGAAAAAGCTCAGCAATGACCAAGAGAAATAGCCAATGGACACTACTCCCAATGCAGCCACTGGAGTACATGGAACTACTTATACTAGGAGTATACACAATACAGAATAAGGTCCCACCAAAAAGATCAGCATTAGAATGTTCTGCAATGATGTTCTGCACAGGCACAAATCTTTGAGTGATATACCTAAACCATAAAGAAGTATTTTGATTAAGAGTTTAAGAAAAGTTATAAGACCAATTTCCCTTCAAATTATGTAATGTCATTTATGCATTTCATAATCAAAATGACAATTTAACCATAAATTTGCCTGAGCAGTTGATCTAAGATTTAATAATTACCTTGGCAGACTGTGGCGTAGAGAAGTTAAGCCAGGCAGGAACAAAGTCATGCTGCGCCATTTAGGTCCAGTGTCTCTCTTCAATAAAGTGAGGCATCAAACCTCATGGCCAGGATCTAAGACAAGAGAACCACCACATACACTGTCAACCCTTCTAAAAATAATGGAAAAGAGCAGATACTTCTGGGCATGCTCCCAAGAGTTTGGAAAACACCTTACCATCTTTCTAGGAGCTAATGGAAATTTATTTGACTCAGCACCAGTAGTCTTATGGCTCCTGTCTACTCCAACTCCCTCAAGCCACTTTAGTCAAAATAATCAGAGGTCAGGTTTTAGCATCATCACCTACAGATGCTACTGGAGCTAAATAAAACTATTTAGAATTTAGTGTACATTTCATCTCCAAAACAGTATTTCACTAGCAGGCTTTTCTTTTCAAATTATGTTGATGTCTACTTATCTAGAAGTAGTTCACTAATTTGTTTACAATGGCACAAATTAAAAACTTTGAGAGATGTTCCTTCATATAGTTTATTGAACATGTCTGTGGAGCTATAAGCAAACAGTGTCCCACAGTGACTTACCCAGTTTGGCCTTTGCAGTCCACTCTCACTTTAATACTTTCTTTGATTTCCAGGTTCCTTCCTTCGCCAGGGTGCACCTATGCCAGCTCTGTGGCAATGGTGAGTCCCAAAGGAAGCACGAGAAGCCGCACTTCGTGCTGACTGCACCCCTTACCCCTCTAGCTGCTCATCTTAAATGCTCTCTGAACTCATGAGAGAAAAAAAAACCCCTAAAATGCAGTGTGCATTTTTGGAAAGCTACAACTACATTCACCTCATTAAACTGTTCCCTGTTGTCACAATGCTGTATAATTCAGCTATTACATTACAAAAGTAGTTGTCAAATTTGCACAGCATTCAGAAAAGCCCCATAATTAATGGTGAATTTCACAAATCCACTTTGTTCATCTTCTGCAACAAATGAATCTGAAACAAAGGGGCAGGGGGAAAGGAGAGTTACAGATTCTGAGGAGTCTTGCAAATTCTGGTGTATTAAACCTTTGTTCTTATAAGTGCTAAAATGCAGGATTCATCTTTAACAGTTGCTAAAAATTAGCTTTCTTAAAAACACTATTTTGAAAGGCTTTTCACATAATGTCACTTAAGTTTCCTTGGTAAGGAACTAAAAGCAACTTGAAGATACAAGATTCAATTATTACTCTTTCTACTGTTCCTATTTATGCATTCAATTAAAGCTAAAAGTAAAGGGCCAAGCTAGCAAGCTATCCTTCTACTGTAGTTGAATTGTTGCTTTTAAAAACAGAGAAAAAAATGGTTGTATTTTAATGAAGAGTTCACGTTTGGGCAATAGTCTTCTTCCATCAAAATGAGTAGAGTTCACGAAGTACTCTGTGAAGAGGGAAAAAATAATACCACCTATCAGTAAACATAAAAATGACCAAAAGGATTATCAAAGACACATTATTTAAGATCTCTATTTCTAATGAAACAGTATAGGCTAACAAGTGTAGTATCTGTGCTCAGTACTAGTATGCCACCCCCACTTTGGTAAATTAATTGAGGGTCCTCATATAGTTATTGAGGAATGATGCCTGAAATTCACCATAACACCGATTTTCATTATGTGTACACCACAATTTGCAATATAGGAAGCGTGGTCCAAACTACGTACCTTTTTGAAGCAGGAAGTATTGCCTACAGTGGATGGAACTGGGAATGGTAAAACAAAATTGGACATAGAACAGCACCCAACAAAAACCAAGTACTTGCTCCCAAGTTGACACATTTATTTGAATGCAGCCTTTCTTACAGAATTTTAATAATGTGTTTTTAAGTGTTTGCCAATCTTTGCTTACATTTCTTAGGAGCAAGCCATTACCCATCAAACAAACTTATATCAGTTTCCTACTTTTATTTTACTACTACACTCAGGTACAGTATGAATAAATGCAAATATGCAATATGGTATATACATTTGTTCTAAAAATCTTAACTATAAAAGCTATTACAGTATTCTGGACACCAAAGCTATCTCCAAATAAAAGGAAGAAAAGTTTGTGATTTATCAGTCCAGAAACTTTTGGTCATTACTAGTTTGGATTCCAAGGAGTACAGGAATGTGATATATGTGAAAAGTGGAAGCTGTAACACTTCCCTTACCCATTGATCAATGCTCTAGCATTGCACCTGAACAGGAGCATGTTCTTGTCACCTGCATGTATTCCATTACTTATCATTCTGATCTGAAACATCAACTTCTGACTCCTAAGCAGTGCCTACCCCACCGACTAGAGAAGGAGTTTACTGAGAGGTGCAGATATACTAGACTGGGAGGTTGGAAACAACAGTCTTGTCAAGAACCACTGCAGAGAAAAGCACTGAGCATATGGAGGAGGAACTCAACCAGCAGGAACACAAAAACATATATGGAAAGTTAGACAACACTTTTAACAGCCCACTTTGTCGTCTGTGACTAGAACCCTAAACTTGCACACAGATTTCATAAACCTTGCTTTCACCTTTACCATGTATTTCACCCATCCCTTTTCAGAAATGGTTTTTGGCCCTTGACTGTTGGACTGGAAGTGGATCACTTTTTTGCCAATTTTTTTTATTGATACTCTTGATCTTGACTGCCTGACTACTCCCCCACAACCTGTGATTCTGCAGAAACAGAATACTGTTTCAGTCAAAAACACAGCTGTTTTCAAGAATATCTCATTCCTGCGATAAATTTAAGGGAATCAGTCTATAGATCTTGAACTCTTACACAACACTGAATCTTACATCAGATCTTCCCACTTTTCTTGATAGGATTTTTTTTCCTTTCAAAACATTTTTAAAGCAACAAATTCAGAACCATGAAATTATCTACAGGCAAAACTTTTCCATTCATTAATGAAGTACATAGTATCTAAGCCTTAGGTCAAGGCTTATTCACTCATATTGAATTAATACAAGTGCCTTCCTGAAAGTCACGTAAAGGAAACTCTATTTATTTTGGATTTTTTTTCTTTTTTGGAAAGTTAGGGATGTCCAAATGGCAAATCTGTATTAGCAAGATAATGCTCAGAAGACTGGTTGAGAAAGATTTTACTGCTTATCTAAATCACCCTTATTATCAAAGTATGCTTAATTAATGAAGCTTAACACTGACTAAAGCCTTGATTAATCTGCATCTGGACATACAGCACACCTCAGGAAATTGCTAAAGTTAAATAATCAGGGTATATATATTTCTCTCCTATATTCCATTCAATATTAGAGGCCCTGCCTTGGATCATCCTGTCAAATTTACTTGTTTTAAATATTTTTATCCTGCTTTTCTACTTTAAAAGCAGTCAAATGTGATTCAGCAGGTGTCCAAGAAGACAGCTTTCTCATTATGGTGCCAACATTCTAAAATGATGCCCTGGAGTGGCCTATGCCACTCAGATACAGTATGCATTCTGGTACAGGTTTTGATCTTTAAAAAGGCATTTGCTAGAACTTGAATTGAGATTCTATTTCACAATATTATTGTATTTCATCATATTGTCAGTTTATGTGTGTATGCAGGCTGATAGCTACCTTAGATCCAAGAAAACAGAGCAAATATATTTCTTATAAAAACTAAATTAAGTCTGAACTGTAACCCAATTTATATCAATCTAAAATCTGGCCTTAACAATTTTACTGCAGATGTAACTTAATGTATGTCTAAAGCTGAAAAAAAGAAAGCTGGTGGATTATAATAGAAGTTAAACAATCCATGGTCTACATGCATCTCTCCACAACTCCTTACTCAGATGCCCCTAATCTTGTGTACCACTTGCAGCACTTACAGCTTTGGAGCACATTCCCTCTTCCCTCTGTTCTGTACCTGCAGATTGTTACCCTCTCTGACAGTGAGAAAAGTAAAAAATAAGCAACTTTAACTGTACTGTACAGCAGAAACACGCTAAAAGCTCAGAACTAGCTTTAGCACTATATTCTTAACTACAGTACTATGAATCAAAAGCTTCACTTTTAATTAAATATAATATACTATCATCTGAAATAATGCAACCCTTTCAAAGCAGCTTCATATATTACATTAAATTAGTATGCATAAGAGTACAGTGAAGTGTTTATAAAACCTTAGACATACACTTCAGTTTTTACACTCAGTAGCTCTATTTTGTCAGTTGTCCTTAATAGTCTGCTGGTGACACAGCCAGAGAAGAAATTATGAATTATTAAACTACAGCTTTAGTTATCTAAAACAGGTTTTTTTTTTTAATCTATTCAATTGTGTCCGATTCTCGGAGACTGCCTGGAGAAGTCCCTGCAGTTTTCTTGGCAAGGTTTTTTCAGAAGTGGTTTGCCATTGCCTTCTTCCTAGGGCTGAGAGAAAGTGACTGGCCCAA